GAATCAGGGACGGAGAAAGCATCAGCATATTCTTTAGTGAGCGAGTCGTTCGGTTTGTGCCTCAGCAGTGGGCACATTGACATTATGAGGGGTTTTGATAGAGTAAATAGGAGTGAAATGTTTCCTCTATCGGGGAAAGAGGACACAGATTCAAGATAATTGGCAAAAAAAAACAAAGGGGAGACGACGAGAATTCTTTTTTACTCGGAGAGTTGTTACGGTCTGGAACGCACTGTCTCAAAGGGGTGTGGAGGCAAATTCGATAATAGCTTTCAAAAGGGAGTGGGGCTAATTGGGGTAAGAGTGGGGGAGTGGGGACTATTTAATAATAATAATCCTTGCATTTGATATAGCGCTTCTCACGTCGGAGGACGTCCCAAAGCGCTTCACAGAACACACTGTAAAGTGAATTGACTGTATATTTGTGGGCGAACGCGGCAGCCAATTGGGGTAAGAGTGGGGGAGTGGGACTAGTTGGTGGCTCTTTCAAAGAGCCGGTACAGGCTCGAGGGGCTGAATGGCCTCCTTCTGTGCTGTAAGATTGTAGGATTCCCCCGACATTGATGGAAAAAGAAAGAGAGTTTCTCTCCTTCCTGGTCTGTGTTCCAGCCGACAATCCCACCGCCCCCTTCCCCCAACGACCCCCCCCCCCCACCCCGATAAAACGGGTCACTCACTCCACGGCGGTTCGTGGGACTTTGCTGTGTCCTTAAATCTGCTGATGATTTGCCGTGGAATCTTATAGCTCAATGGTTAGAGCCCTCGCCTCACAAGTGAGGGACCCGGGTTCGATTCCCGGGCGGGTCAAACCTTAGGCAAGTTTCCTCACTCCACACACACGCACACACGCACGCACACACACACGCACACACACGCGCCTCGGTTTACAGCAGGCAGTAGGAACCCGGTTGTTAGTCGATTGGCGGATTCATTTCCGGGGGTAATAATCACTGCCAAAATAAAAAGATCATTTAGTCACCGAATCCACGACTGTTTGCGGGGACGCTGCTGTGAGCTGCCGCGTTACGCCCACAGAAACACCCGGGTCACCCCACTTGACAGTATAGTCTGTGAAGCGCTTTGAGACGTCTCGAAGATGTGATGAGGCGCCGGGCCAAATGCATGGGTTGTTGTTATGATGATTAATATCCTAAAAAAGGCCGTGAGGCGTTGGATCTGGGTGGAATCCTTCCGTTCAGGCAGAGCAGGTTTTATTGGGACCGAAATAGACAGAGCACGGGCAGGGTCTGGCCGGCGGCCAAGCCCCTGATCTCATGAGCAAAGACAAGTCTATAAACCTCCTCTTTTATGCCCCTAAGCTTTTGTTTGCTGTGTATGTGAAATGTTGGATTACATTATGAAATGCCTCTCATCAGGTTTCTGGTTACGTAGGTGTCAGCGTGGCTCAGTCTCTCTCTCTCTCTCTCTCTCTCGCGCGCGCGCCTCTGAGTCAATAGGTTGTAGGTTCAAACCCCCGCCCGCCCACGTCAGGGACTCTGGCCTTACAGTCCAGGCTGATGCTCCTGCGCTGGGCCGAAGTGGGGGGGGAGAGAGAGAGAGGGAGAGAGAGTTAGAGAGAGAGAGAGAGGAGAGAGAGAGAGTCGTTAAAGATCTCCCTCAGTCCTGTCTGGGGGAAAAAAGAGAGAGAGTTTCTCTCTCCCGGTATCTTGGTTGACAATCTCTCCCCCCCCCCGCCCCCAAACTCCTTCATCTCCACCCCCAGATAAAATCAGTCACTTCACAACGTTTTGCAAGACAAGGTGATGTTGTGGGCAGATACCCTGTTCTGTTTGCCCACACAGCACACAGTCACTACACTTCACAGGCCCTTTTTTATGTCTGTTTTAAGATCGATCTCCGTATTTTTCGATGACTTTCCTCGTGTCGCCGGCCTGGGGTGTGAGCTCAAGGTTCCACCGCAGGCGCCCGCAAGCCAAAGGCAAGAGCGAGCGCGTCACAGGGACGTAGGGACAGGGAGGAGGCATTCAGCCCCTCAAGCCCGTTCCATTCTATAAAGCTCACGGCTGGTCTGGACCTCAAACCCCAATTACCCGCCAAGCAAAGGCAAAACCAGGCCTCGGAGTGTAAGATAATAATAATAATAATAAGAATAAAAACCCTCGCGTTCGATACAGCGCCTGATCACGGGTTGAGATATCTCAAAGAGCTTCGCAGGATGTCCTGCAAAGTGTAGCGACGGGCGGGCGAGCGGGCGGGCGGGTGAGCAGGCGGGCGGGCGGGCAGGCGAGCGGGCGGGCGGGCGGGCGGGCGAGCCCGGCAGAGTTTGCCCCTCGTGAGGTTTGAAAAGAAAACACTCGCGAATTAAGGCAGAATTGGAGACAAGTTCCCGCTATTCTGCGCCGCCTTAAATTTTGAGAGAGAGAGAGAGAGAGAAAGAGAGAGAGGATTGTCCTCGGAGGTGCGCACTGCCACGTGGGCTAAAACCAGGTGGAATTTCAGCTCCCCCCCCCCCCCCCACACACACACGCACTTCACAGCGCAGGTTATAAAAAAAATGTCGTTCCACACGACTCCTGTCAGTCACGTCGGCGAGACGTCCCGAAGCTGATCGCGGGACTCCGCCATCAAGTGTAGTGACTGTGTGTTTTTGCAGGCGAAACGGGGGAGCCAATCGCGCCCCCACCCCCGCGGCCCCCACCCCCCCCATAAACCGGTTGGAGACACAACGACTGACGCTGCGTCAGAGATGACCTGACAACCGCCCTCGAGCTTAGGTTCGAAGCTTATCACACGCAGCGATTAACACAACACCTGTTTGTGTCACGTCGTGGGTTAACCCTTCCCTCACCAGTCTACCTGACGGTTTCTATTGATGGTTCACCCCCCCCCCCCCCCACACCAATCCCCCATCGTCCCACTCCTCTCACCCCCTTCCCCCACCACCGCCCTCCAACCGCCCCTCTCCTTAAGC